TAAGTCCATTGTGATGCATGTATATATAGACAGATATGTTCATAGATGTATGAACATAGATGTATGCACAGTCTAGAAGGATACACATCAAGTTTAACTACTGCTCCCTCTGGGGAAGATTGAAGGAGGGAGAACTTTTACTTTTTACTTTATATATAGACTTTAGTATCATTCAAATTTTAAAGAAAGATTTATCACCTTTGTAATTAAACCAAAGCAAAAACACCCACCTAAGTTTTAAAAGGCACTGGAAATAGTGAACTCAGCAACCACATTGTCAAGGAAATCGGACAGCTGGAATGGGTTTGGGTATGCAGACAGGTGCACCTACTGGCAACTCACAGCATCCTTTAGTGGCAGTTGAGTTTGAATAGACATGCTAACAATAACCACGGGGATTTGCTCTGTTTTCAATAAACTACACATGTGTCTGATGTTTTCCTGGAACCTGGGCAGAAGAAAACTATGCTGGATATATAAAAGCTGATGACAGAAAGAGGGCTTTGCTTCCCCCCAGTATCCTCCTCCGGTGTTGTCAAGGAGACTGCACTTGAGTCACAGCCCTGGGGGTTCACCCCATCACATTCGGTTCCTTGCTTTTTGTTACATCTCCTGACATTCGGTTCTGCCGCCTCTTCTCTACCAGTTACCCAGCCCTTCTGAGTTGCATCCTCCCTCAGGGCATGTCTCCGCACTGAGCAAGGTATCCTGATAACATTTCTTATCTCTCACTGCCTTTGCTCCTCACCTTTGTGTGGTATGAGGCCAAATATGAGTGAGTGTGAAGTACCGTCCAGTAGTAACCATCTCATGTGGGCTTCAGAAGATAGGGGTTTTCTGTTTTAGCCCCTCTTGCACACCCAGAACACCATGAAATGAGAAAGAATGGTATACAGTTGATCCTTGAAAAGCATGAGGGTTAAGGGTGCCAACCTGCCTCAGCAGTCAAAAATCTGAGTATAACTATATAGTCCACCTTCCACACACACGGATTCCCAATTGTGGAAAGGAAATACAGTTGACTCTTGAACAACATGGGTTTGAACTGCCTGGGGCCATTTACACATGGCTTTTAAACTCATGTTGTTCAAGGACCAACTGTATACTATTAAAAAGAAACAGACCCCAAATGGAGTTACTTTTGCTAAGCCCACCAAGACTTAACAGCAAACCTAATTGCAGTTTCAAACTCTTCTGGGAGTGCAATTTCTAACCAGTCTCAAATTTCCTGTCAGCACTAATGAGGTAATCTTCACAAAACCCCCTGCCTTTTCCTTGGAAAGGTGACCTTGCCTGAAATAATCCACTCTTTTATTTTTTTTTAAATTGGAGAATTGGAGGAGGTAAACAGTGTTGGAGAATTGGAGAGGGGGACCAATCAAGTTGTTGTTCTTGAATGTTAGTTGTGGAGGGCGCCGGTCACCATCTGGCTGTCCGTCGGCAGCTCGTGGCCTCTAAGCTCAAGGTGCTGTGTTGCAATCTTAGTTGGAGGCGTAGCCACCATCCCATGTGGGAGTCGAACCAGCAGCCTTGTTGTTAAGTGCGCACGCTCTATCCACTGAGCCATCCAGGCGGCAGCTCAGCTCAAGGTGCTGAGTTCAGTCTTAGTTGCGAGTGGGCATAGCCCACCATTGAACTGGCAGTCTTGTTGTTAGGAGCACGTGCTCTCACCAGCTGAGCCATCCTGCCATCTGTTAGCAGCTCCGCGGCAGCTCAGCTTGGGCACAGCATTACTGGCCGATGTGGGAATCGAACTGGTGGCCCTGTTGCTCAGAGCTCACGTTCTTAAGCTAACTCTCAACCAACTGAGACACTCGGCCAGCCCTGAAATAACCCACTCTTAACTTCCTTGTCCCACCCTTTCTTTGCCTGTAAAAACCTTACATTTTTGTACAATCCCCCTGAGCACCTAGCCATCTGCTAGATGGGATGCTGCCCAATTCATGAATCATTTAATAAAGCCAATTAGAGCTTCAAATTCACTCGGTTGAATTTTGTTCTTTAATAATATCTTTTTGGTTTCTTAGATCACAATGTCTAAGCAGATATTCCATTGACAAAGCATGTGTGTCCTGTCGAGTGTCTTTTGCACTGTTGAACGAGGTAATACAATTGTCACATCCTTGTTTCTGCCCTTTCTAGAAGCACATAGGACTCTGTTGAGCTACTATTCCTATTCTGGAAGTAAAACTTCAAATTCATCCTCTGGCTCAACAGAGCGAAGAGCGATGGTGATAAAGTACTGTTTTTCTAAATTGCTAAAGAATGTGTATGGATATGATAGGTAGATAGAAATGAAGAGGAAAGACCTAGTTCTTTTTAGAAAGCGCCTCGCTGCAGCTCCTACTTGGTTCTAGACCCCTTGCAGCTGCCCTCACTTAGGGCACCAATGCCTTACTAGTCCAGCAGGATTCCAGGCTCACACATGCCCCTAAATCAGAGGGATGTGTTGTTAAAAGCCAGAGAAGGAAGACATCCTGTTTATCGGGACTGTATAGTGAGCTTCTCAAACAAACCATAAAAGGAAAACTGACAGAAACTGCCTAAGAACCAAAAGGGAGGACTGAGCATCTCAGAAGGAGAGAAAGAGGTAAAGAGAAGGGAGAGGAGGAGGCAATTCTACCCATAGAAATAAAAACCTTCATACAAGGTAAGGAGAGGCCTTTCCCCCTTGGGACCGGTCCGCTCCACATCTTGGAGTGCATCTGCCTTTACTAATAAACTTCTTACTATCCTTTGCCAGCACAAAGCGCTGTCTCTTGACTGAATTCTTTCCCTCAAGAAGAAAAAGAGCCAAGGAATATTATCACAACCAGGTAACAGAACAAACATGATTCATTCTATTGTCATTTAAAAAGATATGCCAGACCCAAGACTGTGGCTGAGGGTTCTGTTTATGCCTCCAGCTGATGGAACCCTCCCACAGGGCCTTGGAGTTCTCAGCAGGGGTGGGCTCACACACAAAGGACAAGGGCTATATTTTCAGGTTTTATTTCATTCTTAAAAACTTTTTTTTTCACAGTTTGAAGCATAATAACTTACAGCTTAACATTTACAGCGGCTAACCTCTATGATTTCATATTTTCTTTTGTGAAAAACAGACAAAAACCTCAGGCTCTGGAATAAAAAACTTTCCATAGGAATGTTCAGGATGGAGAGAGCTTTAAAAGTGCAAAATGAAGAAATGGAAAGCTGAGGGTATAATCTTTCATGAAATGTTCAGGGACAGGGACCAATTTACATCCGGGTTTCGCCCATGGAGGCCCCTCACTGGGTATTCTTTTCCATTTCTCCTTTTACTATGAGAATTTCCACCCTGACTTCTGACAAGCTGAGATGTAGAGCTCTGAAAAGCAGGTAGAATGAAAGGGGACACAGATTCCAGCAGCTGCCAGAACCAAATCGGTTTCCTGCTGATGGGCTTTGTGTGTGAAAGAAAGAAATAAGCAGATTATCTTTGATGCCCTTTTCTCTCCAGTTCTCCTCACCCTGCTTCCTCAGGGCACTGGAGACCCATCTAAGGAACCCGTCCTGGCTCGGGCCTGGTTCCTCTGCTGCCTGGGGAAACGGCACAGGTGTGCATGTTTACATGCATGTGCACAGGTGTTTGAAGTGAGAACTTTGACATGTCTGCTGCTCGAGTGACAAATCAGTTGTGTACACTGACTGCCCTCATGCCTTTTGAGTCAGGCGGTGTCTTCAGAGCCCTTCTCTAGATCACTGATAGCTCCTGTCTCAATACTCCAAGAAATCTCTTCCTAGAACCCCGGGTTTATTACTCAGGGAAAGGCCTCCTACTAACTTCACCAGGCAACTCCTTATCTGCCACATGGGAAGAAGATATGGACACTGGGGACTTGAAGGGAGGGCGGAAAGAACGGAATGTGCTAGCTCTCCTTCTTTGCATGAGTAAATTTGCAGCTGAGAGCTGGGGGCACAACTAATAATCGCCACCTCCACCAATAATTGGGGTGGTACCTTCGGTCGGTAGCTAAGAATACTAGAGAAAAGATAAATGGAAAATAAATTCAGGCCTGTTTTAGAGATTGCCAAATGGAAGTTGGGATGGAGAGTAAACCTGGTAACCAATACCTGAGAGAATATGGGCCAAGGTCAGCTGTGATGCAGTCCCTAATTTCACCTTGGTGCCCCAAACCCCAGAGCATTTGATCAATTTCTAGTACTCAGTATCATGCTGATTGCTTTTCAGATCCTTGAAGAATCCTCATGCTTGTCTTTTGGGTTTTTTTTTAAGATTTTTTATTGGGGAAAAGTGTGTTTTTCCAGGACCCATCAACTCCAAGTCAAGTAGTTGTTTCAATCTAGTTATGGAGGGTGCAACTCAGTGGCCCATGCAGGGATCGAACGTGCAACCTTGGTGTTATGAACACTGCATTCTAACCAACTGAGCTAACCAGCCACCCCACCTCATGCTTGTCTTAAGTTGCTTGGAAAGCTCTATGCATACTTGATACCTTGATATCACTTGATACCCTGACTGTGAGGTAGGTAAGTGCCAAGGGTTCCTTCGCCCAGTTGGGAGAGAGAGGGAGCCTGACTTGAGACAGGAAGTGCTAGTGACGGAGGGGGATAGATTTCGAAGCCGGAGCTGCCCGACTTTCCAGCTGTGCCACCCATCATGCAGGCCCAGCTTTCACACAGCTTGTCAGGGGGCATTCTGAAGGCCAGATGCTGCCCACAGCAAACTGTTGTTTTCCTCACACTGCGGCCACAGGAGGGAACATCCAATGAATGTTGGATTAATGTTAAGAGAGGAAAAGAAAGGTAATTTTTCTCCTTATTCCTTGTTCCCAGTGATGGTCCCGCAATACATTAACCAAGCGATGTTCAACCTGTGGGTCGCGACCCCTTTGGGGGTCAAACGACTCTTTCACAGGGGTCGCCTAAGACCATCGGAAAACAAAAAGATACTTACATTACGATTCATAACAGTAGCAAAATTACAGTTATAGAGTAGAAACGAAAATAATTTTATGGTTGGGGGTCACCACAACATGAGGAACTGTATTAAGGGGTCATGGCATTAGGAAGGTTGAGAACCGCTGCATTAAGCTCTTCTCCCTAAAGTTCCAGGCCATAAGGGGTCCTCGCCTTGCTCTAAGCTACTCACTATAGCACAGCAGCACCCCAACTCTTCCTATCTCTGCTTCTTGGGCAGATTGTCTAAAAGCCTCATGTTTTCTCACAACAGTTCCCACAGCAGGTGGTTGGAGGGCACAGGCAGTGCAGACAGGCACATGGTGAGCTGCACACTCAATCTGGAGATACTCTGGCCTCTGATATGGGATTCCCCCAAAGGCCATCCCCTGGGCCCGAGCCCTATGCCACTGGTTATGGGTTAGCATGGCTCTGACACTGCAGCCAAGCAAATCTCTGGCTCAAAGCCTCAAGCACTCTTCTTCTTGAAGTTCATGCAAGTACAAGACTTGACTTTGTCCAATCCAGAGCTTTCAACCACATGCAGTCACTTTTGTTATCATCTGGCGGTCCCACCGGGAATGGGTGGCTATGGCAGGACAACAGGAGGCTCTTAGGGTGGATTGGTGTATTTACTCCTTTCATTGGAAAATAATATTTTCCTCTTGAGGTAGGAATGTAATTGGGCTCAGCCTTGGCTAACACTCAATATCTTGCAGCTCAATTTCCTCAGTCGTGCTCTCTGCAAAGCAGAAGACAAGTCAATGAGTTGCAAATCAGTCACAAGGTAGTTTTTTGGTGAGAACCAGATAACTTGTGCCACCTCTGGCCGTTAAAGCATAAATTGACTATCACAAGGCGCAGAAGATTACCTTTCAGCTTGTGTCTTCTCTTCCTTTGGAATTTATATGCACACTTATTACAAACCCACATGAGGCTGATTAACACTGTGGCCACAGCAGCAAGAAGAACAAGGAAGACAGCGACGAAGTGGAGGTCTTCATAGAGGATCTCTAAGGGGTGGGGTAAGGACAAGGGAAAAATAAATCTCTTAATATCATGAAGTTGACCCCCCCACACTTGCAGTCAGAGGAGCGCCGGGCCCATGGAGCTGTCTTACCTGATACATGCAGCACGATGGTGCCAAACTGGCTACTCCCCAGTTGCTCTGTCACCGTGATGACATAGTAGCCGGAATCCCTCACGCCCACACTGAAGAGCTGGATGGAGCCATTGTCAAAGGTACAGACTCTGTCCTTGTGGCTCTGGGAGATGTTGGCCTGAGTCCCTGGTTTCCACTCTACAATCTTCTGCACTCCCCAGTTGGATGTGTACTTCCATTCGATGGTGGGAATGCCATGGCAGGAGTATTCCACTGAGAGCAGGATGTTTTCTTTCACCGTGGCATTGATGGCAGACTGGGGGATGTACAGTGACACGCCCTGACCTGCAGGATGGAGCGCTAGATGTGGGGCAACTTATATGGACTGAGAGTGACGTGCACTTCTATACTTCTTTGACTGAGTGCCTATTACATGCCAGGCTCCCTTCTAAGTTCTAGTGCTGATGCTACAATGGTGAATGTTATGGGCTGAACGTTTAGATTCTCCCCCCACCACCCTCACGCCGCAAATTCCTATGTTGAAACACTAACCCTCAGTGTGATTGTATTTGGAGTTGGGGCCTCAAAGGAATTAAGGTTAAAAGAGGTCATAAAGGTATAGTCCTGATCCAACAGGATTGAGGTCTTTATAAGAGGAGATGCCAGGGAGCTTGTGCTCTCTCTGCATGGGCACCCATGGATGAAAGGCCATGTGAAAATGCAGTAAGAAGGCAGCTGCCTAGAAGCCAGGAAGAGAGTTCTCTGACAGCAACCGAACTCTGCCAGCACCTTGATCTTGGACTTTCCAGTCTGTGACAAAATTAATTTGTTCCTTAAGCCCCCTCAATCTGTGGTGTTTTGTTTCGGCACCCTGAGCTGACGAAGACAGTGAACAAGACACAGAGTTACCTTACTGTTCCCTGGAGCTTCCATTTTATAAGGGAGACAAACAAGGACTAAATGAGCCAACGAGATCATCTTAGATAACAACAGCTTTCAAGATAAGAAAACAGGACACTGGTGATCGTAGGCGTGGAGGTGGTACACACCACCGTTAGATAGAATGGTCAGGGAGGACCTCACTGAGGAAATGCCATTTGAACTGAGACCTAAAGGACAGGGAGGGAGAAGAGGCAGCCAGGTGAAGATATTTGGGAGGCACATTTCGGGCAGTGGGAACAACTACAAAGACTGCGAGGTAAGAGTGAATGCTGGCGTGTTTGAGGGACAGAAAGGGGGCCAGTATGTTAGAATTCAGTGAACCATGGAGAGAGTTTAGGAGACAAAGTTGGAGAGCCAGGCAATACCCAGGTGGTGATGTGAGGGGCGGGGGTGGGGTTTTACTCAAGGGTGCTGGGACTCCACAGGAGAATAAAGTAGGAGGGTGACATTCTCCATTAAGCTTGAGAATGTCTACTATGGAGCACTTTCTAGGGGTGAGGGGAGCGGAGTGGAAGCAGGAAGGGTACTCGGGTGGCTGCCAAAGAGGACTCTGGATAAGAGACTAAGATATAACCTTGAAGGAAATGTACTTGGAAGTAGGGAGGACAGAACATGCTGACGAATTCGATGTGGGAATGGGTGATGCAAAGAGGCATCAAACAGAGATTTCTGCGTGAAATGGGTAGATGAATAGTAGTGGTATTGGCTAAGGAAATATATATGTTGTTATACAAGTATTAAGTAGGTACCAGGCACAGGCCCTGTGCTAACTGCTTTACACACATCATCTCTTAGCCTCACACAACCTACTGTAATTCTGTTGAGACTTTACATATAAGAAACCTCAGGCTCCCCAGGATTAACTAGCTTGTCCAATTCACTCTGCAAGGCTGAGACATAAGGGCTGCCGACTCCAACGTTTATATATTAAACCTCTATGCTCAAATCAATGGTCAGCGATTGGCAGTTGATGGCACAGAGAGTGACAAATGCCCCCACACTGAAAGGAGTGGAAAGAGCTGGCTGGAGACGAGAGAGTGAATTGGGAAAGATTCAAGTTTGGAGCCCATCCCTGGGTTTCCATCTCCACCTCCTGTTTAGCCCTCTCACTCGTTGGGCGTCCAGTTGCCCTAGGCCCCCTGCTGCGTGGCCCCAGGTAACCACGCCTGTTACTTTCCCAGACTTTTCTCATTGTTCTCTTCCATCCCCAGCATATCCCATTTGTGCTGCTCTCCTAAGATCTGGCTACGTAACCGGAGATAATTTGATAAATTCCATGCTGAAAAATTGGGAATAGTAGCTTTCAAGAATTATAGTTGGCAAGTAATAGAAATGTATTTTCTCCCCAACTCTGTATTTTTAAAAACTGTTAAACTCCCAGAAAGGTTGAAAGACAAGTACAATTAATATCTATATAACTTCTAGATTCACCAATTATTAACATTTTGCCATATTTGCTTTCTCTTTTTCTCAGGAAGAAAACAGAGGTCAAATTTAGGTTAGCCCATGGAGGGCAGGAACCATGTGTTTTCTTCATCTCTGTGTCCCCTGTACCTAGCACAATGCTTGACATAATGATTGGTCAATAAATGTTTCTTGAGTGATTAAGTAAATGTCAAATATTTATAGAAGCAAGAAGGGTCAGCCATTCCTGATAGAGCTGTTCCTGCTTGGGTGGTTTAAAAAATTAGGCACATCTAAAAGCTAACAAATAGATAGGAAAGAACTGTAATTTAGCCAAGGCTTTCTGTGCCAGTTTTATAGACACAGATTACCATATTTCCCCATGTATAAGACGCACCCTTTTTCGAAAAATTTGGGGTCTAAAAACTGTGTGCGTCTTATACAGTGGATATAGATTTCAAATGCCATAGATGGAACTGAGGATGAGGATTCGTCATCAGACACAGATGAGGACAAGCTAATGGTTGGGAGTTTTGACAGTGATGAGGAGTTGCATAAGTTTTATGTTGAATAAAACTTGAGTTCAATAACTTTATGTAATACATTTTTTTTCAAATTTCGGGCCCCAAAATTAAGGTGCGCCTTATACATGGGAGCGCCTTATAAATACAGTATGTACTTTATAATCCTTATCTCTTTTATATAAATATTTTTTTACATAAGAGTCAGCAACATGCCCACATAGCTAGAAAATGGCAAAGGTGTTATTGGAATGCAGTCTTGTCTGATGTAAAACCCATGTTTTTCTCATTCTACTTGGTGACTGACTAGCTATCATTTATCTATCTATATTTTCTGATTTCTCTGACCTCAAACCTGAGCAGTTGGAATAGTGATTACTGTAAGATCTGGAGAACCATATTTAGAACTAGTGACAAATTTGTATCATCACCTGTGTGTATTTCATGTACATCCCATGTTGATCAAAGGAGACTGCCAGCCCTTTTAATAGCCTTAGGGACCTTCATTTGAGGCTTTCAATTAGTTTGGCCCAAGAAACAGCAAAACTGAAAAACAAAAATAAGAAGTCCAAGTTTCGGAGATGCTGATATAAAAAAATAATATAAATGGAGCCAGTTTAAAATGAACCCGGAACTGCCATGCCAGAGGAACTGCCTTGAAGATCTTATGCCTCCAACCTTTGCAATATTAAAACAGGGCAAAATCACCTTTGGACTGGACCTAAAGCAACGTTGTGCTCCAAAGATCTGTTTGCAAAAAAGCAGATATTATGACTACTGGACTGATGACTACCTGACTAAAAATTAAAAATATTCTTTAGAATTACCATCATTATGTTAGCTTATCTGCACCCATAGAAATGCCTTCCTTCTGTTGATGTAATTGTTCCCCTTCCCTTTCTTATAAATACCCTTTGTCTTTGTCTCCTAATCGAAACAAAATTTGGGCTTCTGCCTGAATCAGTGCTTCCTGAATAGCTGTTTTTCTTTCTTTAATCTCAAATTAATGTTTGTTGCCTCTCATTTTGGCCTTTTATTTTTAGGTTAACACTGATATGGCTGGAAACTGACCAACTACAATAGTTCGTGTTGATTTCTGTATTTTCTCTTGACCAGAAAAATCTCCTAATCAGACTAACCAGGCACTTAATTAGGTTTTAGGAACAAAGAGTTCTTCCTCCTGGGAATCTACCACATATAATTAGAAATAAATGGTCCATAGCAACGATGCAAAATTAACAGTTCCAAGAGTTTAAAGGCAAACTGCTTGTCGACTGTTTAAAAAGTGGAATTAATGAGTAATTACCTCTGCACCACATGCTAAAATCATTCCAGAACAAATCTGGAGAAATTTAGCGGCTAGACCAATATCAGACCTAGCTTGAACATTCTACTCAAGGAGATTGGTTAATAAATCAGATTTTACTTTGAAAATTGATGCCAGGCAGCCATTAGCAAGAATGAACTTTATAAGAACAAGGAACGATGTCCATGATACGTTAGGATGGGAGGAAGTCCTGTCCAGGGCGGGTCCCACCTTACATCCCGAGCTGCTGAGACAGGCTGCAACCACCACGTCCCTGAACTGGAATAGCAGGTTGGAAAAGAATTCTAACTCGTTTTTACTAATCTTTCTGAAACATATGTCTAACTCACATTTATTTCAATGTTTAATGTCAAAAGCATTTTGGGCTTCATTTAGAAGTTTAGTGATGTTTTTGTAGCCAGGAATATGCCATAGGAACTTAACTCTTGTTTATATCAATTAGCTTAGGGTACATATAATTGGTTTTGTTATATATGTCATTTCGTTTTTCCAAGTACCCATAGATGACGTTCAGTGAGGACTTAACTGGACTCAAGATGGTTCCTTACTCCTTCTCTTAAAAATAAATTACAGAGGTAGTGCTTTGCTGCTTTTAAAAACTGATTATTTAAGAAGGATGTATGTCCTGAAATCACACCAGAGGTCAATACTGTTCAGAACACAATTTTGGTAGAGAAGCGTTATCAACAAATGATGAGGCAGATGTATTGCTGACATAGTCTCTGAGTTTAAGGAGTCATAGAGGATACCCCTTAATCAAGACAATTCATTTTCACCCACTTATCTGGAAAGCTACTTATCCAGCCAGTGTGATCATCAGATGTGGCTGAGAACCAGGAAATAAAGATCGCCATCATTGCCATCTCATGCTTATCAAGCCTGCAAGCTGCTAAACTAGGAGTCAGAAAGCTAGGGCTCAGGAGTCCTGATATGCAAAATTCTGCAGCGGGTGGTGGCATAATGGATCCCTTACATAATAATAACCCCTTACAAAGGGGTTATTCCCAGGGGCAATGAGTTGTGGTGGAGACACCTGATGTGGGCAGGATCCACAGAGGCTCAACCCTGCGGCCTCCCAGCCATGGGACCTGGAGAAAGTGCCTGCACTCTGAAAGCCTCAGTGTTGTCCGCTATAGAATGAGGACGGGAAATCCTTCGGGAGGAGGCTGTGAAGATGAGAAGGGAAGCACACATTGTCAGGCCCAGCAGGGCACAGCACTGACCACTGGCCCAGGAGCTGCAGCTCCCACCACTCACCCTTCTCAGTGTGTCACAGCCTCAGGATGACCAAAGCCTCCCAGCATGCCTGGGACTGAGAGTTTTCCCAGGATTTGGGAGTTTCAGTGTTAAAATGAGAAAATCATGGGCAAACCAAGACAACTGGTCACCCTATCTGAGGCTTAAAGAAATGCTGAAGAGCAAAGAGTAAACTGCAAGGTATACAACACCTGATTTCCAAGGCATCCAAGGGGCTCAGAGGGGCGGTGCGGGGCAGCCAGCTCCAGCTCCCATAAGCAAGAGAAGACAAAAGCCATTCTTCCCTTAACCCCCTGGCTCCAGAACACATCCCCCATGGGTCAGCACTCCCACTGCACCCCCATTTTAGTGGGGACCTCCCACCAGTCACTGAATCCAGTCTACACTTGCCACGCCTCCTCCACCGTAGGGCACTGGCTCATGGGTGCCTGCCTGGAGATTATTATTATCCCCATGTTATAGAGGACCAGATTCAGGTTTGCAGGAGTTGGGGAAGGGGAGAGACACTCATGTCAGCTGAGGCGGGAAGATAAAAAAAATTTAAAAGCATGCGAAAAGGAGGAAGCACAATCCCGGCTGAGAGAACAGTGAAGCCACTCAGGGAGGCACAGCAGATTCTCAGATGTGGGACCCAGTGAGCAAGAAGTGCAGGTTGGCTGTAGCATGAGGAATCTGGTAGTTATTCTTCAGGCAGGGTGGATCCAGGGTGGTTTTCAAATAGAGGCATGGCAGGATCTGAACTGGGCTCCTGGAAGGGCAGTCTGGCAGCAGAATTGTTATCTTCTCATTTACACACATCACCTGCACTGCCCTGCACCCACCAACGTGCTTGTCCTGTGTACCTTCAGGAGAACCCCTGGCTGGAGCCCAAACTGTTGGGAACAGCGGGGTGTGGCCGTACATGGTCCTAACCTGGGGAGAAGATAGGGAACAGCAGGAAGTGCACACAGGCATGGTAGACTGTGAGAACTCGTTTCCAGTTCCCCTCAGACACCCCAGTGTCCAGCACAGGGCTGGCACTTGTAGGTGCTCACAATGTACTCATGTATCCTTGTGGCACAGTCGGTCCTGTCCAAAACGTCCACAGAGACATTTGGTCCACACTAAAAGGTCCTTGATATTTGATCCTGTGCCAAAATGTCCATGGAGACATTTGGTCTGCATAGTTTATATAAAGCCTGCTCTTCTGCAAGATTTGAACCCTGACCCATCTACCCACCCCCATGTGCTATGACCAGCTAGGCTACTGAGGTGAGGAGGTTTATTATTGGCAATACACCCACAAACACAATTATTGGAGCACTAAAACATGATAGTATTTTTTATTATGAGTTCTATGAACCAAAAGGAGAAATAAACATTATAGACCCTTTGAACCCAAGCACATTTTGTAAGTGTGGATGCTTTGGACAGGGTCAAATGTTTGCTAGTTGTATGAATGAATGAATGAATGAATGAATGAATGAATAAAGACATGTATGCCCTGCCTGACAAACTGCTGCCCATTTGGATAGATCAGGAAGGGAGGATCTATGCTGAACTGAGGGGGACAACGGACCTGGCTGAAGGAGGAGCTGGCAAGACTCCTTGCCCAGTCCCAAGTCGGTTGAGAGTCAAATAGTTAGGAGGAGAAATGGTACAGTTTTGCACAACTAAAATATCCATGTCCCTGCCTCACTTCTGCCATTCTTGAAAGAAGCAAGCCTGGAATTCTGGAAACACAGCTTCGTGTAGGAGGCTAGCACAGTCACCCCAAATAATGGCTTTTGGGTTTAGATGTCAGGAATAGTGTTGATGACTCACATATGCACATAATTTATAGGGTACCTATCCCTCCTGTTAGCTCAGGTAGTAATTACAGTAAGTCCCTAACTTACGAACGAGTTCCGTTCCGGGAGAACATTCGTAAGTCAGATTCGTTCCTAAGTCCGACTTGGGTGCATGATTGGCTGCATCTGTGAAAGTTCACAACTCGAATGTTCTTAAGTCGGGGACTTACTGTACCTAGCCTCCCCCTGCCCCCATGCCTGATTACTCAGAGACCAAGATCAGCTAGTCCCTGAGGGAGCTCCCCCATGATCTTGCTGTTTAATGGCCTTGGGAAGTCACCGATGTCAGCCAAACCCAAACAACATGAACAGCTGCAGGGTTAGATAGAAGCTGGAAGTTCTATGTATTTGTACCCCAAGCAAATAAATCACTCCAAAATAGCAATAGCCACCATTTCTATTGGTAACACCTGTTAGGTACAAGCTGTCATGCACAATTACCACAGACCAGTGAAATCTGGGCTGGGAAAGTTGAATGACTTGGCCGTTATCAGACCGGTAAAGATAAAGAAGACTGATAACATTACATTGTCAGGAGTGTGCAGAAGTTATACTCAAACATTACTGTTGGGATTGTAAATGGGCGTAACCTACTTGGAGGGCAATTATGATGAAACCTATAGGGCTATTTAAATAGCACATACCTCTTGACCTAGAATTCTACTTTTAGAAACTTATCCTATTAGCACTAAGGGTACATAGATGCAATGATATAAGTATAAGCATCGTCACTGAAGCAAAGTATATAGTCAGTCAGTTGTAGTAGTAAAAGCCTGGAGACAACCTGTGTATTCACAAGTCAAGGAAAACTGTTTCTTACTCTATCCCAACACTTCTGACACTAACTACCTGGAGTCAGCACAAATCCCACAGGTTAAGGGGTCAGTCTCACAAGACTGCCCCCCCACTTCAGGCGCCAATCACAAGTCCTGGCCTCCCGTACTTTTGATCAACTGGCTACACATTAGGGGTTCCCAAGACCCCCTCCTCAGGTTTGATAATTTGCTGTAACAGTTGACAGAACTACAAAGAATACAACTCAGTAAGAGCCAAACGGAAGAGATGCACGAGGCAGGTCTGGGGGAAGGGGCGTGGCGCTCCCATGCCCTTCCTCTCTGGGTACATCACCCTTCCAGCACCTTGATGTGTTCACTAGCCCAGAAGCTCTGCGAACTCCTTCGGTTTGGTTTTATTCTTCTTCTTTTTTTAGCGGGGCATAATGTTCCATTACATAGGCATGATTGAATGAAATCCTTGGCCACTGCTGACTAATTCAATCCCCAGCTCTTCTCTCTTCCCTGGAGGTCAGTGGTGAGGCCAAAAGTTCCAACCCTCTAACCACATGGTTGGTTCCTCTGCCAACCAGCTCTCACCTTCCAAGAGTCTCCTCATTAATAAACAAAAAACCACTCTTATCGCTCTGGCGATTCCAAGGGTTTTAAAAGCTTTTGGGTCAGAACCAGGGGCTAAGACCAAAAATTATAACAAAGGATGCTCCTATCACCCCTATCACTCAGGAAATTACTAGGGTTTTAGGAGCTGTGTCAAGAACCAGGCTCAGAGACCAAATATATATTTCTTATGATGTCACAACCAGTTAAATAAATGATCAATATTCATACTTTGAATGATCAATATTCATACTCTGGAATACTAGAGACATTAAAAAAAGTGAGGTCTACTTATATGCATTCGTACTTGATGACCTCAAAAATAATGAAAAAGCACAGGGCAGAATAGTGTATACAGAATGTTTCCATTGAAGTACACACACACACACACACACACACACACACACACACACACACACACACACACAGAGATGGCCACTTACCCGTATAAATGTACCTCTAGAAGAATACATTACCAACCTGGAGCTATAGCTGTCTCTGGGGAGGAGGCTGTGTGTCTGGGGTGGAAGAAAGCCTTACGTTTCACTCTATACCTTTTTAAACAGGTATCTTGCCTATGAAATAAGTTCAGTAAGTCCTCACTTAACATGGCTTAAGTTGGAAGCTGACTTTAAGTGAAACTACATATAACGAAACCAGTTTCACCATAGGCTAATTGATAGAAACAAGAGTCAAGTCCCTATGGCATATTTCTGATCATGAAAACATCACCTAACTTCTAAATAAAGACCCCAAACATTTCTAATGTTAAACATTGAAATAAATGTGAGCTACGCATTTAAGAAAGATTTATAAAAACAAGTAGGATAATTCTCTCCCAGATCGCTGATTCCAGTTCAGGGTCATGGAGGCCAGACTCTATGCCGGCAGCGCAGGGTGCGAGGTGGGAACCCACCCTGGACAGGCCGCCCTTCCATCGCGGTGCACACTCACACTCACTCAGACTGGGACAATGTAGACGCACCAGTTTACCTCACAGGCACATCTTTGGGACGTGGGAGGAAACCGGAGTCCCCGGAGAAAACCCACCCAGACATTGGGAGTACGTGCAAACTCCACACAGACAGTGGCCCCAGCTGGACGTTCTTTTTTTTTTTTTCTTATCGATATTATAATGAAATGACAGTGAATGAAATGACAATGAGTGAAAAAATGTTACTCAAGGACCTGCTGTATACAATAGTGTGGTGCCCACTTCCTGCAGCAGAATGAAGATTAAGTGAGACAATACACGTAAGGAGATTATTACAGTTTCTAACACTTAACAATCACTCAATAAATGCTAGCTATTATTGAAAGTTCTTTGACGATGCATTGAGCTGCTGAGTTAGTGAGCTCCCCATCCTCAGGGGTGTGTAAACAGAAGCTGGAGTTGTACCAGGGATTGAAGTAGTAGATCTGAGACTGGCAGCTGGAATGTTGGGTGGAGGAGGCTGGTTCTTCCAGCCCAAACCACATAGTAAATGTTGAACTGGAATGAGTATTTGTAAATCTGTGATTCCTTTATGGAAGTGTGGCAAGAGATTGGGTGACCTGAAATTCCTCCCTGTGGCATTCCTTCTGGGATCTTTTTACCTTAACCAAGAGCCACCCTTGCTAGAAAGCTGAACTCTTTTCTGAATGGCTGCGGGCTTTGGTCAAGTCAGTGCTGTGTTTCTACGCAGGTACCAAGGAAACTACGTATGGTGGAGGCAGCTCCCTGGTCCTGAACAACGCTGGGGGGTGGGGCACTGCTGGGTTTGCCCTTTGTAGAGCTGGGCTACAGGAATTATGGTCAGGCCTGGGCCAGTGGCCAGCCTGGGGACCCGGAAACTGGGGTCCTCCTCCTATACCTCTGCACAAATGTGTGTGGAACAGGAGGTGGATGAAGGAAGAAATGAGTGGCTCATGAACTATTTATTGAACCAAACCAAACTTTGAAGCAAAGAAACCTTGTCTCCTGATTTAAGCATGTTGAGAACGTCTGTTTGTCAGGATCAAGCCACAAATAAGACATAAGACAACGCTGCACACAATGGTGGGTATTCTGAGAACAGAAGTGGGGTAGAAATATGCACACTTCCTGACAAGTTGATTCCATAGGATGAGGCTAATAAAGGGGACCCGGAAATGGTCTAATCCAGGAGCTCTCTGCCTGGCACACATTAGAATTATCCGAGGACCTTAAAGGCGAAACAAAACAGTGCTGGGTCCTGCCCTCGGTGGTACCAATTTAACTGTCTGGAGTGGGGGGTTGGCATCTGTAGGTCTTATAAGACCCCCATCTCCTCCTGCTGCCAGGTGGTTCTAATGTGCAGCCCTGGCTGAGAAGCACTAAGCCAGCCCACCCTCACATTGTGCTGTGTGCTCAGAGAAGGAAGGTGACCTCACGTACAGAATTCACAGCCAGCACTGGAACGGTGACCAGTCCCGAGGCCCTTCCTGAACTTCCCAGGAAGCCCCAGAGCACCTGGGCGCCTCTGGAGTCAGCATGGTACAGGCCTGAGCTGCCCCCCTGGAGTGCACCTCAGCAGACGGAAAGGCCAATGTGCTTCCTGGACCACGGGTGGACAAGGAATGTCCTGTGCTCTTTTTACGGTCCAGTGTGTCATTTTCCCTTTGCCCACAGGGTTGACTGGTGCCTTCACAGCCCAGCCCACGTGTTATGGGAGAAGATCTTTTT